TTGAGAAATTCTGTCGAGATGTTAAATCGAAAATACGCGAGAAACAAGACGCAATGATTTTAAAAAAAAACTTAATTTCCTTAACTTACGAGTGACGTAAAAATCAGTACGAACGCTGGTACGTCCCCACCAAAAGAACTCGTACTCGTAAAGTATTACTTCAACTTCGTATTTTCCAATTGTATAGTTCTCGTGAGAAACGTTTAAACTCCAGTACGTTGTTGTATTTGATGTTTCTCCCGTCTGCGAAAGATCAAAATTACATATTAAAAATTAATATTTAATGTCTCGCGTAAAGTGTCTTGGAAGAAAATGAAACGAGCTATTAAATTTACTTGACGCTGCATCGTCAAATTCAGTTTTTCTAAAAAGACGTATTTATTTGTTGCAAATGTTGATCGTAGAACGAGAAAGCTAACCTCGTATTCGTGAGGATTTAATGCATTGTCACGCCATTTGTATTTAAATGTCCCCGATGGTCTTTCATTATTGCTAAAGATGTCGGCTTTGAACGTGATAGTTCCACCTAATACTACAGGGCCATCGTGCGTTAACACGATATTATAGTCGGCGTTAACTGTAACGAAAGAAGACTGATAAAATACTTGCAACTTGTCGCGACTCGAGATAACAATGGGTGTGATTAACCGAAAAATTGTCACGCGAAACAACGGGTAGTCCAATTACCTTGACAAATATACAAAATGTACCAAACGAGACCCCCAAAAAAATGCACTACCTGCATTCTGTACATCGATAAAGTGTCACATTTATCTTCGAAGATACACACGCTTCGTGAAATTTGTTTTCGATCGATCTGCGATTAAATACGTATCGTGATCGCTCTGACCGTAACACCGTTTTAGTAGCAATGATTGCCAACTGTTTCACGTTGTACAGATTTTTCACAGTGCGGTGTACGTATCGTAAAAGAGTAAGAACGAAAGAAAAATTCAAAACTATTTTCCAAAAGAACTTTTCATATTTTGTTTCTTTTTACGTTGCACATGTTCGAATCTAACGTTTCATTTTTGTGCAAATTTTCTGACGTGTATATTACTGAACGAATAACCAATGTTATAACCAATAAAAAAAATGCATCTTTTTTCAATAATGAATAATGACAGACACTTGCGTTTTATTCGTTTTATTGTAAAAATTTATTTAAATTCTTTTTTAGTTCGTTGCGTATTAACGAGAATTGTCTTTCAACTCTCTGATTGGCCAACCGTTTCGCTCGATGTTACGTGTGAGAAACATTTGATATTTTAATGCTACCTGATCGTTGCTTTTCTACTCCGAATGTTAATGATAAAAGATACGTGTATCGCGTGTGATTGGAAATATCGAAGAACGTGATTAACTTGGAAAAATAATTGTATTCTGATATCCTGTGGTTTGAAGTAATTAAAAAAATTTTTTTTAATGTAATTATCAGTAGCAAATATGATATTCAAAAGTATACGTTTGAAAGCATTTATTGATATTTATGGCGACAAACGTATTTTAAAGAACAGCGTTACGCGAAAGATTTTCAAATTTTTCTTTACGCGAAACTTACATGATTCTACGTCTCGCGAAGCTGTCTCTCTTGAAAATCAATTGAAAGAAATATTTAAATTTAAGAACAGCAATGTTAGTAGTTGGATCATCGAGGTTGGTGATATAAATTATTTTTTAATATTTTATATTTCAATATTTCGTAAATTTTACTCGTATAAATTTATAGTTGACAATTATTGAAAAGTAAATGTCAAAAATGTTCAACGCGAATCGGTGAGGGCTAAACGTTCTAATTTTGTAATATTTTGTTCGGTAGATATATTCTAAGATTATTATTTAAATCCTCGTTCTTCGAATATACCAAAGTTTTTTGACATACTTCGAATCTTTTGAGACAAGGATAGATCTCAAGTTGATATAAATAGAAATCATATCGTGTCGTGTTCAGTTTGTAATGTCGTGGCACGAGGTTATAACGTGTCGAGTGACGATTCGTAACAAAGTATGATTTGTAATGATAAAAATGTTTTTAACTTTGGAAGTACATTTGTCTTTCAGTAAGTAACGTGTCATTTTTATCTTTTTGATCGACTAAAAATAAAATAAAATTACCGTCTCGTATGTAACGATTCGATGTAACCTAAATTGCAAATATAATAAAAATGTCAGTAAATATATTTTAATCTGTATAATGTAACAATATTTTTATCTGTATGATGTACGTGCCAATTATAATGAAGTAGAATTAAAATTTTATTTTAGAACAAGGCTCATATTTTATGCAATGGATACCGAAGAAGTGATAAAGATGACAAGGAAAAAATTTTGCGTACCTTGGCGTTTGAGTATGCTGTTCAACACGCTGTTGTGTACGATGTAGCAAAAAAATTTGTGTCTACGAAGGTTTGTACATTGCTAATGTTTTATTAAATAAAATATTTAGCTTTATATTGCGTTACATTCTTCGTTAATCGTAACGTCGTGAAAGATTCAACGATATGTAAAAAATACCTGCGATTGTTCGATTATTTTTTCTTTTTTTTAGACAGACAGCGAAAGACGTATGGTTTTATACGAACGAAATTTAAAAAATACTTTAACTCCGGATTATCAGTGGCTGTTTGTTATAATTGGAAGACTCGAGAGCGGTGTAAAATTTCTTGTTGATTTAAGAACAGATATATTGGTAAGCAATTTAAAATGACGAATAATGCAATTCCATTTTTAACGATAAAATTGATGATTCGAATGTTCGAGTGTTTGAAAAGATCATTTTCTTAAAATTTAATTATTGACTTGTAATTTATAGTGTGTAAGTTTCATATTGAAGATATACTTTGATTATATTTATTATAC